CAATGCTGAAATACAAGCAAAATATTGTCTTTGCATTCGAATAGACCAGGGATGGTCGACTTTCCTAATGGCCACAAAGCTGTAAGCTTTGAACTGAACAAACCAGGCCCTGAACAGCACTGAACAAACCAGAACAGCACTGAACAAAATCAGGCCCAACAACTTGGCATCGCGGCGACGCGTGAGCAAACATTTGGCTTAAGTGGGGTTAGAGAGGGATGGGGGCGGTAATTACATTTGTCAAGTCTGGGTAGGTCGATGTGGTCAACTGGCCATACATTCCCAAGCGAAAGTCACGGATCCGCCAGCCTGGGGCGTTTTCAGGGAGTGCTGTCAGATATCGGCAGCCATCCAAGACCGCGGCTCGAAACCAGCTGTTCAGTGGAACTAATGCATGTTCTACAATTAACTAATATAATTCCACATTGTTCAGTCCTCAGCGCGCCGGAAGCCGACCCGGCCGTGGCCAATGCCGCCTGGTCTGAAACCAGTTTCAAATACAACAACTGTGACCCAAACTGGTCTTGACCACAACAGCTGTGACCCAAACTGGTCTTGAGCACAGCAGCTGTGGCCAAACCGGTATCGAATGCAACAGCTGTGACCCAAACCGAGAGATACCAAACCATAGAAGCCACGCATACGTGGAGGTCAGACTATTGTTTCCAGAAGCCATCAAAATATTTAAGCTTTCGTGATACTTTTGTCCCAGTTAGCAAAATCCCAGATCATCCATCAACCCATTTTGTCAGCTGAAAATCCAGAGCTGTCCGAAGTCACAGCCAGCCAGTTTTCAAACGATGTGAGCCTCTCTTGTGTCAGTACGCGAAGACGGCGTCACTGAACCTCTGCTTGCCAGTCTGTACGGAAAGACGGACTTACCAAGACGTTCTTACACGAATCGTACCTACTGTCATGGGTGTATACAACATCTTCAATTCGAACTTTTAGTTCTTCAGACGAAACCTTTGCATCATATACTGATATTGGATTGTCATCTCCATCATAATGTGTAGCTTGCACGTTCGTTACCACCCTCTTACGTCTCTCACCGCCTTCTCAGTCATTCACCTTCCTCTCATATCTCTCACCCCCCCCCCCCCCCACTCACGTCTCCCATCGCCCTCTTACATATTCCACCAACTCTTACGTCTCCTCTTACGTCTCTCACCACCCTTCACGTATCTCACCACATTCTTGCGTCTCTTACCATCCTTCCATGTCCACGTCTCTCATCACGCCCTTCACGCCTCTCACCACACTCTTGCGTCTCTCACCATCCTCCCACGTTCACATCTCTCACCACCCCTCACGTCTCTCACCATCTCGCCCGTTCCATGCCGTACAGGGCGCCCCATGCGCATCTTCGCATCTTTGGTTACAGGAGTCTGGTGTATCCTGCTACTAGGATGAGATGATCGATTATAAATTATTTGTTGAGCGCCTGGCTTCACCGAAGTGATTTCTCAGAATAAGGCCGCTGGCCGCATTAATCTGACCCATGTAATTAGATAATTTACAGCATGAGTCACTGGGCACAGGCGCCACACCATCCAGAGGCTTGTGCGCTTCCACTAGCTGCACTGATGGTAGCATCATGCAGCTCCCGGCAGCAGCAGTTAATTTCTGTAACAGCTCTGCTCCATGAATTTTAAGACATTCGCACACAATCCGATCAGTCGTGATTATCCCTGAAACATCGCAGCAAGCAAAATAGAAAGCATTTTTTTCCAATTTCCAAGGGGAATGAAATATTTGCTTGGTGCGAAAAGCTGTCCAAAACTCGGCATAGATCTTGACAGCCCGGCGTCGCAGCGACACAACACGAACACCGTTTGATTGGAGAAAGGACAGTCACAGTGGAAAAACGGGGCAATACGTACGTACATCAGCTGCGCGCGCTCGGGGACAAGCCATGCATGTGCCCGACGCCTCCTGATAAAAGCGTTTCGTTCATTTCAACCACTGATATTCATTGGTTGTTGCCTGCTTTAGGGCGTTGTTTGGGACGGCGCCAGAGCTCGACAAACAGCGCAAATGAAGGCGTGGAATTAACCCTTGGTGGGGCGAGTGGTGGGGTAAATGTTGCACATCCAAAAATCTCGGCAAGTTCGATGCTCTCTGACCCCGAAGGTCACAGAGTGTCTTACGTGAACGACCAGAATCAGAGCCAGAAACCCGGCCAGAGCGCGACCGACGTCACCTGCTGGTTACTGGTTTTGAATACATCTTACTGTGCGTGAAACTGGGAGTGATGGGACCATGGCAACTACGCATGAATACGGTCAGGTTTGCTGTGACCAATAAGCATCCAAAGTATCGGAAGAAAATAGGGACGAGTGGCCTCAGGCACGCAGCGCTCAATAAATAGCCCTTTCATGCAAACACAATTCGACGGGAATCTGATTTGGTACCGATCCTGAAATTCACAATAAAATATGGTTACAACGAGTAAAACCCAAGGCTTGCCGTCAGAGCTATCAAAACATAAGTGAATTTTTACTATGGCGGAGTTTTTGTTTCATAATCGTGTACCTATCCGTCATTTCACGTTTGCAGTACTTTATGATTTGGCGCTATGGGACCAAATACGGAAACATAAACTGACGAATTGTTACATGATGACGAAACGAAACACTTCCGTGTACCGTCCACCGGCTGTTTTGATACGTCTGGCCACAAACGATGGGTTTGACCCCTATTTGCCCTTTTCCTCGCGCATGTTGACCCTTGTTTGCCCCTTTCCTCGCGCATTTTAAAATTTTGTGCCTGTGAAATACAGCGTGATAAAGATGGGTCCCAGTCGCATAACCTGACGCGTGAATTAGACTAACACGTAGCAAACGTCTCAAATGTACACGGATCCATTTGACGATGCGTACATGTGTGGTCGTACGGCCACATGACAAGCCGGTGTGGTTTGGCTTATACATGTGGTATTGCTTATTTTTGGTTACTTTTATCGATTTGTTGCGGCGTAAGTTACCTGAAACAAGAACCGAACCATGATGGTAATTGCTGAAGCATTGCTGTCGTCAACTGGTTGCAGTAACTGGTCGAAGTCAACGGGTCGCAAAGTAGGGGGCTCATACGGAAAAAGCAATAGTCGCATATATGTAGCATCGATAGGAGTTGGGGCCGTGGTGGGAAACAGCTGTTCTTCTTCAGCTGTTTAGTAAAACCTCGGGAGCATCAGACTTCGAACCAACCACCAACTACCTCGGCGGTGTTTGACTTTCTGTTGCTCCACAGACTCAAGGTGTTTTCTTTCGTATCATGGACAGCACCATGCCGCATCACCAATAACCATGTCTTGGGGCGAACTGTTAGCATAGGCACACCGATATAGCCACCAGCCAGGGACTGGTTAAAGTTCGAAGACTTCATGCATCGATCGACCACCGCCGGTGGCCTGCCTCGAAATGAAACAAAGTTACAAACGGCTGCGTCGTCAGATGTTTTATGTTCCAGATTGCACGGCGTCCGTACGCGAACAGCTGATACCTCACGGCCGCGAGCGATTGCTGGCTAAACCTGTGCGGCGTTTAAGTGATACAAATCTGACGCCATTCAAGTTCGATACAAGGCTTTGCAAGAGACTGATAAATCCAACCTCGAGACCGGCATTAGTTTTAACCCAGCGGAAAGGATTGCGATAGACGCATATTTCCTTTAGCCATATATCAAAGGCAAGCTTACAAACGATCCGAGTCATCATCGGCTGCAGCCCATCTACCGAGTTTTCGCATGAATCAGCCGAACAAATCTAAACCATTGGATCCGTATTGCAAAATTTACGGATTTGTTAGATATTTCCGACAATGTAGGGAGAGGCAGGCTTTTTCCTTTGGATCATTCAAGAAAAAAAGCCCATGAGGGGTGTACAGATGAAGTCCTCTTCTTTTTTGCTCACATGGGAGAGAGAGAGAGAGGGAGAGAGAGAGAGAGAGAAAGAGAGAGTGAGAGAAAGAGAGAGAAAGAGAGAGAGAGAGAGAGAGAGAGAGTGAGAAAGAGAGAGAGAGAGAGAGAGGCTGGAAAGTAAAAGGTAGAGACGGGTCCAAAACACCGCCAATCGGGAATTAGAGATTAAAACGTGGGCATTGAAAATAGCTTGTAAAACGAGTTGCGAGAAGGTTTAAATATGCTGTGATCGCACGCATCAGCAAAGAGCAATCACGAGACTCGTTACCGGAGTTCGTATAAAAGGATCTGATTACCTTGGCCAATTAGTCTGATTAATGGCAGTAGACCAGGCAACTAAAGGTAACGTCAAAACATAACCGTTGCGTTATTTTTCCTGTGTCGCTAATGCAAGCTAGTGTTAATCAACTTTTGCATTACATTTCAGTCCCGTACTGATGTGTGACAATGACAGTACCAGTGACACACTCATTCGGTCAGTCAGTGTAGTAACACCAAACGTATAATCAGACCCAAGACGACACCGATGGGCTGGTTCAGCTACCTTTTGATTCTAACAACACTGTAGTTGGTGTACGGTGGTTACCAGGCGGCAGAGATGGCAGCACTAGTGATACCTGTTTTGGCAGAACTGGAGCGACATGAATGACGGACGGTTGCCATGCAGTTGGTACGGCTGTCAATGAGTGTGTGCAACCGTGTAGCAGGATTTTTGTGTGAGCTTGGCTTGCCAATTTTGCTATAGGTGGCTAGAAGTTTATAGATTTCAGTCGGCATTTTGGAGGAAATTGGTCATTTCAGTTACTTTTTGAGAAAACATGATCAAATTATAGGCTCAAGAATACGTTTTGTCAATATTTGGAGTGCCTAACGTGAACACAGTCCGCCATCTTAGGGTTGGAAACCAGGAGTCATCTTTCATTATTCAAACTTTGTCGCTGCTCTTACGTGCGTTGGCCAGGGACCAAGACCACGCTGTACAACAGAGTAGAACGCCTCGATCAAGCGAGCCACACTCCCGAAGCAATTTCGGAGCCCACAAAAGGTACAAAAAGAAGGATTCAGACACAAACAAAGTCTCAGCCCCGCGCTTTGGCCGTGTACTGCAACGCAGGTTCCAAGCCAGCAAAAGCGGCCTTTGCTCCGACGGGCGCGCGCACAAGCGCTTGCCGCCCAACGAGCTCCAGCGGACACGCGCGGACAGCGGCCGCCGCACAAACACAGCGGACACGCGCGGACAGCGGACACGGCGGACAGCGGACACGGAGGACACAGCGCGAGGAGGGGCACGGCCGAGTGCGCCGCCTCCGAATCGGGCCGACGCCGGCCCGGCGCTACACGCTGGCGGCCGGGCCGTTCAGAGAGGCGTCCCGCCGGCCGTCCATCACAACACGCACGTCGCGCGGCTCGGCGACCCCCAGCAGCGCCGCCTGCGAGTCGCCCGAGCTGTCCTTGCCGAGGCCGACCGTCTCCTCGGCGATGCCGGCCAGCGCCGCCTCGGCGTCCAGGCTGGTGGCGGGCGTGGAGGGGGCCGGGCTGCGCGGGCTCCGCGAGGCGCGCCGCACGCTGCGGCCGTGCACCTCGGCCGCCAGGCTGGCCTCCGTGTCGCGCATCAGCCGGCCGCCGCTGCGCGAGCGCGCCAGCCGGCCCGACACGTACTCCTGCAGCGAGTCCTCCTCGCGGCGGCTGATGACGCGGTTCACCAGGGTCAGCACGCCGCCCAGCACGACGAAGAAGGTGCCGGTGCCGACGAGGTCGTACGCCTCGGCCTTCTCCATGTAGCCGGGGATCATGGCCGTGATGACCATGAGGAAGCCGATGAAGAGAAACACCAGGCCGATGTGGAAGAGCGTGATGCCGAAGAGAATGCTGCGTGAGCGCGCCGGTGCCGGCGCCGGCTCCTCCTCGACGAAGCCGTCGCCGGTAGAGGGCCGCGGCGTCACGCTCTCCAGCGAGGAGTTGGTGAGGCGCCGTTTGCGCTCCTCGCGCCGGCTGCGCTGACGACGCAGCGCCACTGCCGCCTGCACCCCGCGCATCCTGGGTCACAGGTCAACGACACACACCACGCCCCACCTGCAAAGGGCAACAAAACGTGATCACCGGAGAGGCAACACACGGCGGCTGGTGAGCGGAGGACGAGGGTAGGCGCCAGGGTGAGGCTGGGCGTGGGATGGAAGTTAGGAGCGGTCGTTGTCAAAGTCAGAGTCCTGAAATCGGCAACGTTGAGTTGGCATGCAAGCTTATAAATTTCTACGTAAACGGCTTATTTTACTGAATGGGGATTGTATATCAGCCAGGCACCCAGGCTCAAGCTACGAGATTACGAGAGCACCTCTTTTCCTGGTTTGCCCTCTTTTTCCTCTCCACTGGTTCCTCAGACGCGCCGCCCTCTATGCTATAGGCACTCCAGTTTTGGGGGTTACGTGAAGACATGATGAAGAAACATGTTAAGTGAAGATCCTACTTTGCCGAAGACATGATGGTGCATATGGTAGTGAGACTTTTGATCACGCTTTCTTTCGGCTTAACTGCAGCTGAAAGAGAGTGTTCCACATTTATATGGGGTTTTGAACTGAATTAGCCACCTTGAAGACCTTTTGGTGCTGTTCACAACCCTGCACTTCCTAAGACCTAAGCTCTTCTAGTTTCTGAGCTCTGCGCCCGCGAAAATGGGGGAGATACATCGGGGATAATATTTCAGTCACTTCAGCATTTATAACGTTATGATACTGTCGTTCAAATTCTGTCATTCCATAAACCATGCGCCGATCAAGGCCAAAGACCGTATAATTGTCGAGGCGTCCATAACTGGCGTCCATCAGCGCGATTCTCAGATATAACGGCCGTCAATTATCCTTCAATCAATGTTGTGCAAGGTACGATGACGTAATCAGACCATGACGCATTAAGAAGCATGTCTGTTAAGCAGAGAATTGTGATGTCTGTAGCAGTCTTCTCCACCTAAAAAGCATATCAGTAGTTATAAGTAAGCCTGTTTCATCATATCTGATGCTTGCTATAATGTCTTTAAATGTAAAACATTCCTCTTGACACGATATCATAAACAGATTTGGCTAGGGGTTCCTCGGATTCCTCGAGTGTCCTCATGTCGTGCATATTTCACTGTGTCGATATTGGGCAAACCTCTGAAATCTGATGCTAAAGTTCAATGATCATGGTGTGGTTAACTCATCGCTTGACTCCTGATAGCCCTCGCTCTCCATCATGAATCTCAGCAACGCCTTCGTATGCTTTTGTCTGAAACAACTACAGCAGTTTTGTCAGCTTTGAAACAATGTGAACGTGTTTGAAGTGTTTTTTTTTCAGCCGCTGTGCTCGCCCCGTGTAGGCGAGCACGTTGTTTTGTTTGAATATGACGCCAGTCATGTCCTACCCCACCTTCCTTTGATTTCCGGGAGCACTGTTCACCGTTTGTTACATCGCTTCAGTGAAAGACTTTTCGGGAATCTCTTTGACACAGCAGCCTGCATTGACAGTACGCTTTTGCGGCACCATGAGTGGAATATCATCCTAATTATATCTCCATTCTCCTGTTTTTTTTTCGAGGAATAGGGCTAATACTACTGTCTTATCTATGTGAATAATGTTCCTCGCTAATGCACTGAACAACCCACGTAAATCCGCTGAATTTTGGCTATTTGGCCAATCTGCATTTCGTGAGGTCTAGTGAGCACTTCATGTAATAGTAAACAAATGTTCTGGCCATTTTGTAGCCCTTTGTTTCAGCTTGACAACTGCTTTTCGCACGTTTCAATTTGACAACCGCTCTTCGCACGCTCTGGCTTCTCTTCAGTGTGGCTTTGGCACGGACAATGCCACCCACTCAGTTGACCTGAGGAGGTAATCTTGAGTGCCACTCGTCATTCCGAAATTCTCTGTGCGAAAATCTTCTCTGACGTGTAATCACCGCACGGTGTGGCAGCCCGTGGTCGTCCGTGCAAGCACCATCCCGAGAGAGCGAGAGAGAAAGCGAGAGAGAGAAAGAGCGAGAGAGAGAGAGAGAGAGAGAGAGAGAGAGAGAGAGAGAGAGAGAGAGAGAGAGAGAGAGAGAGAGAGAGAGAGGAGAGAGAGAGAGAGAGAGAGGGGAGAAATACGAGAGGGAAACAAGAGAGAGAGAGAGAGA